CACTCTCTTACCTCTCTCTTTTTCTCCATATACTCTTCCTCCTTGCATCCTTCTACTTTGAAAAAAATCTTCTCATAGCTAACTTTTTCTCCCTTATACTCTCTTTCCATCATATTCCCAAAAATCGCCCTTTTCCCTCCTGCACCCACTTTCCCTGAACCACAAACTTCTGCTGAACACTCTAACAACTTTTTTTAAACCCACCCCAACCTCTTGACCCCTTGCCTATGTTCATTACCCATCATCCTCCAAAAAGCTGTTTAATCTTACCCTAACGCCTCCTCTTTTGTTTATAAAACCCTTTCCCCCTCTCTTCCCCTGAGCTTTTGTTTCCTTGTATCCCATTACCTTTTTTTCCAGGGGCTACAACTAGAAAAATGATCTGATATATCTGTGCCCCTCTATAAACTTTTACAATTTAAGTCTAACCAAAAGTCTTTTATCACCAATACATAATCCCAAAAAATACTGTCATTTGCCCTACATATATCGTTATACTTTTTTTCCTCTTTTTTTTAAAAAATTATTACCTTAACTAAACCCCTTTCTATACAAAGTTCAAAACAAAGGCTCCCATTTCATTACACCTGGGACCCCCAAAATTACCTACCACAAACCCCCCCTAAAAGTTTCTCCTACTTTTGCATTCAGGTCCCTACCACAATTACTCTCTCACTTGGTTCAAAGGCTCCTATACATTCACTTAACATCTCCCAAAATCTCTCTCTCTCCTCTGCATTCCTCTCTTCTCCAGGTGCATACACGCTTATTATGACCCACTTCTTGCATCCAACCTTTTACTTTAATCCACATAATTCTTGAATTTACACATTCATATTCTCTTTTCTCCTTCCATAACTGATCATTTAACATTACTGCTACCCCTTCCTTTGCTCTAACTCTCTCAGATACTCCAGATTTAACCCCATTTATTTCCCCCCACTGAAACTCCTACCCCCTTCAGCTTTGTTTCGCTTAGAGCCAGGACATCCAACTTCTTTTCATTCATAACATCAGCAATCACCCTGTTTTCTTGTCATCCGCACTACATCCACGCACATTTAAGCACCCCAGTTTTAAAATTTTTTCTTCTTCTTTTTTTTTAGTAAATGTATCAGGAGAAGGGGTTACTAGCCCATTGTTTCCCGGCATTTAGGTCGCCTCATACGACACGCATGGCTTACGGAGGGAAAAATTCTTTTCCACTCCCCATGGACAATAGAAGAAATAAAAAAGAACAAGAGCTATTTAGAAAAAGGAGAAAAACCTAGATGTATGTATATATATATATGCATGTGCGTGTCTGTGAAGTGTGACCAAAGTGTAAGTAGGAGAAGCAAGATATCCCTGTTATCTAGCGTGTTTATGAGACAGAAAAAGAAACCAGCAATCCTACCATCATGCAAAACAGTTACAGGTTTTTGTTTCACAGTCATTTGGCAGGACGGTAGTACTTCCCTGGGTGGTTGCTGTCTACCAACCTACTACCTTAATAATAATAATAATAATAATAATAATAAGGAAGGCGGGGTAGGGGTTGTCCTCGAAAAGGTTGGAGGGAGGAGGTGAAGGAGGTTTTGTGGGCGAGGGGCTTGGACTTCCAGCAAGCGTGCATGAGCGTGTTACTATGAATATGAAGAACGAGATTATTGCTAAGTATGAAAGTGGAGTGCGTGTGTCCGAGCTGGCCAGGTTGTACACAAAACCCCAATCAACCATCGCTGCTATCGTGGCCAAGAAAACGGCAATCAAGGAAGCTGTTCTTGCCAAAGGTGCAACTATGTTTTTGAAACTGAGATCGCAAGTGATAGAAGATGTTGAGTGACTGCTATTAGTGTGGATAAACGAAAAACAGATAGGAGATAGCATCTCTCAAGCGATCATATGTGAAAAGGCTAGGAAGTTGCATGACAATTTAATTAAAAAAATGCCTGCAACTAGTGGTGATGTGAGTGAATTTAAGGCCAGCAAAGGTTGGTTTGAGAGATTTAAGAATCGTAGTGGCATACATAGTGTGATAAGGCATGGTGAGGCTGCCAGTTCGGACCACAAAGCGGCTGAAAAATATATGAGGGAATTCAAGGAGTACATAGACAGTGAAGGACTGAAACCTGAACAAGTGTTTAATTGTGGCGAAACAGGCCTGTTTTGGAAGAAAATGCCAAGCAGGACCTACATTACTTAGGAGGAAAAGGCACTCCCAGGACATAAGCCTATGAAAGACAGGCTTACTCTGTTGATGTGTGCTAATGCTAGTGGTGATTGCAAAGTGAAGCCTTTATTGGTGTATCACCCTGAAACTCCCATAGTGTTTGGGAAAAACAATGTCCTCAAGGCTAATTTGTGTGTGCTGTGGAGGGCAAACAGTAAGGCATGGGTCACTAGGGACTTTTTCTATGACTGGCTACACCATGCATTTGCCCCCACTGTGAAAAATTACCTCCTGGAAAATAAATTGGACCTTAAGTGCCTCCTGGTATTAGACAATGCTCCTGGTCATTCTTCAGACTTGGCAGAGCGACTTTCTGGGGACATGAGCTTCATCAAGGTCAAGTTTTTGCTTCCTAATTCCACTCCTCTCATGCAGCCCATGGACCAGCAAGTCATTGCAAACTTCAAAAAACTCTACACAAAAGCTATGTTTGAAAGGTGCTTTGTAGTGACCTCAGAAACTCAGTTGACTCTAAGAGAGTTTTGGAGAGATCACTTTAGCATCCTCATTTGTGTAAACATTATAGGTAAGGCTTGGGAGGAAGTGACTAAGAGGACCTTGAACTCTGCTAGGAAGAAACTGTGGCCAGAATGTGTAGACAAAAGGGATTTTGAAGGATTTGAGGCTAACCCTGAGAAGCCTATGCCAGTTGTGGAATCAATTGTGGTATTGAGGAAGTCCTTGGGGTTGGAGGTTAGTGGGGAGGATGTGGAAGAGTCGGTGGAGGAGGACAATGAAGAACTAACCACTGATGAGCTGCAAGATCATCTTCAACAGCAAGAGGCCAGACCTGAGGGAACTGCTCCGGAGGAGGGGATAGAGAAATTGAAGAAGTTGTCTACTTCAAAGATTAAGGAAATGTGTGCAATGTGGCTTAAAGTGCAAACCTTTTTTGATGAAAATCACCCTCAGACAGCTACTGCAAGCCGTGTTGGAACCTGTACAATGACACTGTTGTGAACCACTTTAGGAACGTCATACAGGAACGAGAGGTACAGGCCTCTGTGGACAGATATGTTGTGCGACAGAAGTCCAGTGACTCTCAAGCTGGTCCTAGTGGCATTAAAAGAAGGGAAGTAACCCCAGAAAAGGACTTGCCACCTCAAGTCCTAATGGAAGGGGATTTCCCTTCTAAACACTAACCCCATCCACACACTCCCCTCCTATCCCATCAATCATCACCAGATCTTCAATAAAGGTAAGTGTCATGTAATTGTATATGTCTTCTTCAATTTGTGTGTATTAAAATTAATATTTCATGTGGTAAAAATTTTTTTTTTTCATACTTTTGGGTGTCAAGAACGGATTAATTTGATTTCCATTATTTCTTATGGGGAAAATTAACTCGGCTAACGATTATTTCGACTAACGATGAGCTCTCAGGAACGGATTAATATCGTTGGTCGAGGGTCCACTGTAGTGTGCTTCTTGCGTAGTGATGAATTCATTTACTGGCGTAGCTTAGGAACGGACCTCCGTCGTTAAGTGAGGAGAGGCTGTATTATTATATTATGATAATAATCATAATAAGTTTAGGAATAGAATTGGTGGAAAATAGGTCATTTATACTGGGGAGAAATTGAGGAACAAAAGATTATTGTCACACGACATTATGTATCTATAAATAATATTTTATTGTTTTTCTGAAAAGTAAGTTATTCTCCTGTTAGCAAAATCGTCTTCTTTGTTATTTATGAATACATTATTATGATTCTTACGCACACATTATTTAGGAATCATGGTTTTACAGCCCTACGAAGGGAATTTATAATAGACTTTACTGCTTATGTTTTATTTATTTTAAAATACCAAAAATATAGATCAAACAAATTTAAATTTTGGGGGAACATATTGAGTGGTTTGGGATATTGGCAGTTTGGAGGGATATGTTGTGTATCTCTATACGTATATGCTTCTAAACTGTTGTATTCTGGGCACCTCTGCAAAAGCAGTGATAATGTGTGAGTGTGGTGAAAGTGTTGAATGATGATGAAAGTATTTTCTTTTTGGGGATTTTCTTTCTTTTTTTGGGTCACCCTGCCTCGGTGGGAGACGGCCAACTTGTTGAAAAAAAAAAAAAAAAAATATTGATATGTCATTCAATTCCTTCTATACAGTTCATCTTTAGCCTTTGTTCATGTAATGTCAACTACAACATCCTAAACATTTTCAATTTAGCACAAACTTTACCAAGGTGTTGTCATATCCAAAATAATTTTTTTATTTTTTTATCTTATTTTTTGGCAAACTTTGTGGAACTTCTGGTATACGTTTTGGACCACCTTCTTAATTTAAAATAAAAAAAATAATTGAAATTGGACTATTATAAAAATGTTTCCTAGTTGAATTCTGCTCCCCTCTTAATATATTCTGGCTACAATGAACTGCGGATAACTGAAACTGTGGAAACTGAACCTGTGGATACGGGGGCTCTACTATATTTACCGTTCTGGAATTATATTTTCCATAACGTGTTGTATCTGTTATCCATGTATATTTGTGCATGTTCTCAATGGTTAATGTATTAAATGTTATATATACTTTTTTTTTTTTTTCAACAAACCGGCCGTATCCCACCAAGGAAGGGCGGCCCTAAAGGAAAAACTAAAGTTTCTCTTTTTAAATTTAGTAATTTATACGGGAGAAGGGGTTACCAGCCCCTTGCTCCCGGCATTTTAGTCACCTCTTACAACACGCATGGCATACGGAGGAAGAATTCTGTTCCACTTCCCCATGGAATATATACTGTATATATTTTTTTGCATTTTTATTGTAAAATTTTAATATGCAATGTTTTTTCCTTGATAGGTTATGTCAGAGTTGGAGAATCTTCTTGTGAGAAAATACACTGGGTTCCAGCCTTATGATCGCACCCCTCGCTCCTCAACATCTGCTAACCCCTTTTTGGAAGTAAGATGTTTACCAGGGTAAACGTATCCAAATATCAAATCACTGTTCACTTTCCCCATACATACAGTAAATTCTCTTATAAAGTAATACTGCATATTGCAATTTTGTATAAGCAGTGCATCCAGAATTGCATAGTGCATGAATAAACCTTGTTAATGCATTCCTTAAGTATAGAATCATCATGTTATGGGCAAAATTAGGATACTATGGTCCATGAAATTTTTTCCCTCCTACCCAAGTTAGGCCTAAGATCTAGCGATGGAAAGGCATAGCTCCGCCCCTTGCCCACTACCACCCATGCCACCTTAGAGGTGGCGTATGTATGATGCAGACTGCCATCACTTTTGGTCTGAGGTAATCCAAGAGAGACAGTAAGAAGACAATAAGAACTTATGCAGTGAGTTGTGCAGATTGTGACTTAGCAAAAAGGGGTCAATAATGCAGGGTAAAACAGACCAAAGATGCATTACAGAATACTTGAGCATGAAGGTACAACCATCAGCTACTGACATATCTTCATATACATAAACACAAGAACCACTGCCATCCACATTATCCAGTAGGGCCATATCAACACTCCACACACTTGTGTCAGACAGCAAGGACAGCTAGAATGTAGGTAAGATAAACTTCAGTAATTTGTACCTAGTAAATTTTTTTTTAAAATTTGGAGGTCTTTGGAACATAGTACCTACTATATTTCTTGTTATTCACTTCACATACTACCAATTTCCATATGGGGCTAGTTTTCAGGAAACATCCCTCACATTATGAGACGATTTATTGTATTAGATAAAAAGATCAATGTGAAATGGATTTAAGAAAAGCTGGTGTCGCTTTCATCTTTTCTTTGAAACAAATTTGGTTATTTGCACTAAAACAACTTCCAGTCCTGAAACCAATCAAAATCATCTCAATTTCAGTAGCAAGTCTTCCATTCTATCAAACGATACCAATAAACAGCCATTAAAATCATAAATACCATCTGAAAAAAAAACCTCAAATTTGCTATTTTAAACCATACACTAGTAACAATTTTGTTTTTCTCATCATGCACCAGATGGGCAGGATTTTTTTATACTGTGTATAGAACATAAGAAAGAAGGAACACTGCAACAGGCCTACTGACCCATGCAGAGCAGGTCCATGTCCCCCTCCCGGATTAGCCCAATGACCCACCCTCCCCAGATTAGCCCAATGACCCACCCAGTCTGGTCACCTCCACTCAAGGATGGAGCACGGAACCAAACCCAGCAGCACAAGCTAGTCAGGTCCAGCTCACACCCACCCACACCCACTCACTGCACAGACCCATTCTCTCATATCTGGGCCAGAATTTACTGCTCAGAGCTTATCTGAGTAAACTGAGTTCATGGAGTAGAACTATGTGAGGGACCCTAGCCTCAGTGACAAAATTCTACTTTATGGACAGTGAAATGGTTAGTATTAAAAGAATTCATGATGGTTTGGATTTTTCTGCTTAGCAGGGAAAAAATATGCACCCCTATTCTCAAAATTTCTCTCTTTCACATCCTAGCTGCTCAAATTATTATCAATGGTTCATGCAAATTGCACAAATACAACAGAGCTTTCCTGTACAGGATCTTTGGTACTATGAAATGTTTGCCTTCCAGCTATAGCTGCCTCCTTAGATACAAGGCTCTGCAAGTAGGTTTCTTGAATAGTTCATCAAAACCACTATAAGAAGAATTAAAAATATATATTTGTGCATGTTACTCAGTGAATCATGACAGCTGCTATGGCTGGCATTAAAAATGAGCATCAGATTAAAAATGGAATCTATTAGATGATAGAAGGCAGGAAGAGGTCACATTTAGTTAACCCCTTGACTGTCGCAACCCCCAATCCTGAGGTGTCTCCTGGTGTCGCAAAATTTAAAAAAAAAAAAAATTATTTTTTTCTTATGAAATGATAGAGAATCTTTTCCTGATTGTAATGACACCAAAAAAAGAAATTTGATGAAAAACTGACGGAATTACGCTCTCGCGAAGTTAGCGACCTCGGCGATATTTACAAATCGGCGATTTCGCCCACTTTGAGCCCTATTTTCGGCTAATTCCATTGTTTCAGTCGACCAAACTCATAGCTATTTCTTTAGAACTCCGTTTTTTCTATCGATTGAGTACAAGAAAGTGCCTATTTACCGATTTCAACTACCCAATAATGTGGTCGGAAATTTGCAATTTGGCCAATTTCACAAAAATTAAAAAATATGACAATTTCAAAATAAGGTCCAGAATGAACAATGCAGACATTCCTGGCTCTAAAATAACATTTTCTTTGTTCATCAGTCACGTCTCCAGGCCCATCTGATATTACTCTTGCTTTCTATTTTGAATTTTTATTCAAACTAAAAATAGAAGATGTACTGTTATGCAGACTACTGCAATACTGTAATAATTGTATAAATAACATCAACCCATTCATGACTGCACATTAGAATGGCTAGTTGGACATTTATTGGACAATGACATCATTTGTTTACTTTTGAACATTGGCAAAAATCAAACATTTCCCCTACTTTGAGCTCCATTTCCAGGTCCTTTTTATAGTAAAATCAATCAAAATCACCTCTATTTCTATAATATGTTATCCATTCTCTCAAATGAGACAAAAAAAAAAAACGAGAATACAACCATAAATACTATTCGAAAATAGACCACAAAGTAGGCATTTTAATTAAAAAAATGTTGGAGTTTTTTTTTCTCATTATGCACTGCGTGCTCCAGGATTTTTTTATATGGTGCACACTGACCACACAGACCCATTCTCTCACATGTGGGCCTACCAGCTTTCTCCTGCTTAATTTGAAGCCGCTAGAATTTATGAGTAGATATACGTCAAACACGGTACCTCGTAAGACGTATATATATGACCGAAACAGTCAAAGAGTTAAAGATGGTGAAGAGGTTCATCAAACCATATACTGTTCTATACAGAAATACTCTAGTTTTTATTCTTCAAAATGCAGTAATATCTGTTCCATGTATAATACATGTGCTGTACATTATTTTATTCTATTTTATTTCTCTGAAATATTGTCTTAACCCCTTGACTGTCGCAACCCCAAATCCTGAGGTGTCTCTTGGTGCCGCAAGATCTCCCCCCCCCCCCCCAAAAAAAAAAAAAAAAAATTCTTATGAAATGATAGAGAATCTTTTCCCAATTGTAATGACACCAAAAGAATGAAATTTGATGGAAAACTGACGGAATTGTGCTCTCGCGAGTTAGCGACCTCAGCGATATTTATGAATTGGTGATTTCACCCACTTTGAGCCCTAGTTTCGGCTAATTCCATTGTTCCAGTCGACCAAACTCATAGCTATTTCTTTAGAACTCCATTTTTTCTATCGATTGAGTACAAGAAACTGCCTATTTACCGATTTCAACTACCCAATAATGTGGTCAGAAATTTGCAATTTGGCCAATTTCACGAAAATTAAAAAATATGACAATTTCAAAATAAGGTTCAGAATGAACAATGCAGACATTCCTGGCTCTAAAATAACATTTTCTCTGTTCATCAGTCATGTCTGCAGGCCCCTCTGATATTACTCTTGCTTTCTATTTTGAATTTTTATTCAAACAAAAAATAAAAGATTTACTGTTATGCAGACTACTGCAATATTGTAATGTGTAATTTTATAAATAATGTCAACCCATTCATGACTACATATTAGAATGGCTACTTGGACATTTATTGGAAAATGACATCATTTGTTTACTTTTGAACATTGGCAAAAATCAAACATTTCCCCTACTTTGAGCTCCATTTCCAGGTTCTTTTTATAGTAAAACCAATCAAAATCACCTCTATTTCTATAATGTGTTTTCTATTCTATCAAATGAGACCAAGAAAATGAGAATACAACCATAAATACTATATGAAAATAGACCACAAATTCGGCATTTTAATTAAAAAATGGTCAGTTTTTTTTTTCTCATTATGCACTGCGTGCTGCAGGATTTTTTTATATGGTGCACACTGACCACACAGACCCATTCTCATACATGTGGGCCTAGCAGCTTTCTCCTGCTTGATTTGAAGCCGCTAGAATTTATGAGTATACATACGTCAAACATGGTGGCTCGTAAGACATATATATATGACCGAAACAGTCAAAGGGTTAAGAACATAAGAAAGAAGGAACACTGCAGCAGGCCTACTGCCCCATACGAGGTATGTCCAATTCTCCCACCGGCTTAAGCCAATGCCTCAACCTAGTCAGGTCAGGTCACGTACACTTAAGGAAGGAGCACGACATCTGACCTAGTAGCACAAGCTAGTCAGGTCAAACTCTCACCCACCCACACCCACTCATGTATTTAACTAACCTATTTTTAAAATTACACATCTTAGCTTCTATGATGGTACTCAGAAGTTTGTTCCACTCATTCACAGCTATTACCAAACCAGTGCTTTCCTATATCCTTCCTAAATCTGAATTTTTCCAGTTTAAAGCCATTGCTGTGAGTCCTCTCTAGGCTAGATATTTTTAACACACTATTTACATCCCTTTTATTAATTCCTGTTTTTCATTTATACACCTCAGTCATCTCCCCCCTAATTCTATGTCTTTCTAGAGAGTTCAGATTCAGGGCCCTCAGTCTATCTTCATTAAGGAAGATTTCTGATACATGGGATCATTGCCTTTCTATACAACATTACCTCCTATAGATCATGATTACACTAAACAAGTGGGTTTGTTAGATTTGTGATAACTATTTATTATTTATAGGATGGACTACCAAATAAAACTATCAATACCAACCCATTCATGGAGTGTGAAACACAAGGAGAGTGTCCTAACTCTCCATTCAGTGGTGCAGTGTGCCGTTGTTTCCAGCCATACCTCAGAGTGTACATAGAGAATGTAGACAAGTAAGTAATTAATTATTTATTTCATTGTAGAGTACATCCATTACAATGTTATTTGGAATTCTAGGTTACTGCATCTCATTCATACCACCAAACAATTGATTTCTGAAACTGTTATCCACAAAAAATATTTCCTATTTTTCATGTTTTTAGGTTTGAAGCCTTTGCTTTGTAATATCTTCACCATTTCCTGAGTAGATAGTTAACACAGTAGGTGGCACTGTTGTCTGCTACTGTGATGAACTAGAATGTATTAAATCTACTTGCACCAAGGATGAATATGGTGGATAAAAATTTGCAAAATTCTCATCCAAAAACTGAAGAAAAACTTTAACAGATGGAGCAGTCTAAAGATTACCTCACACAAATACTTATACATTTAGTGATAGCCTAAAAAAAACATGATAACTGACTCAGAGATGAATAAGCACCACCTGATGCTTACTGGCATAATTGAGAGATGCGATGCTCATGGAGATGCAAACAGTCATGCGCTGACAATGTAATAGCGAATCAGGGAGCCAAATAAATGAATTTTTGGTCTTAATTTGAAATGTCCATATTAGTGAATTGCTGTAAAGTGAAGTGCCATAAAGTGGGGCACTACTATATTGGCCTACCCTATCCCTTACACTTAGTGTGGGTCAGTTCAGGGTGACATAGGTTAACACCCATGCCTTTGGGTTTCAAATAATGATTACAAAAACAGGGAAACTTCTCATTGAATATTCTAAGAGTTTATGTTTCAAGGCAGAAGAGTCAGATGATATTGCACAGTGTCTGAAGAGTTCCTTGGTAAAAAGACTCCAGATGTGCTCAGATGTAACTGTGAAACCCAGCTCTCTTGTACTGTTACAGTGACACTTAAAAACTGAGAGGAGTCATGTTTAAGACACATTTTTTTTTTTGGTTTAGTTTTAACCCTTTAACTGTCAAACAGTTGATCTGCATTTTACTGCTAGCATTCATGATGTCAATCAGTGCACTATTTTTCCTGCCTTCAAATTTGGCACAATAGACCTGAGAGGCCTAGACATGAGAGAATGGGTCTTCTCACTCAGTGTGTGCAGTATTAAAAAAAAACTGGTGACACTTCAGTATCACATGGGGGCAGCAGTTTGTTTCAACATCAGCTTGGGTCAACATGATAGCAAACCCTCAGGTTTCACTCATGACCCATTGTATCAACATATTCTTATTTGTGGAAAGTGGTATAGAACCTGAGTTCAATGGATTTTAGATGGGTGTGGCCACAAATGATTGGGGGAAATAGTGAATAGTGGATGAATTTGGGAGTGTATGTAAAGGTAGAAAGTTGAAAATGAACATAGAAAAGAGTAAGGTGATGAGGGTATCAAATGATTTAGATAAAGAAAAATTGGATATCAAATTGGGGAGGAGTAGTATGGAAGAAGTGAATGTTTTCAGATACTTGGGAGTTGACACGTCGGCGGATGGATTTATGAAGGATGAGGTTAATCGTAGAATTGATGAGGGAAAAAGGTGAGTGATGCATGAGTATATGCTCATCACAACCAAATTCACACCCATATAAGAGTTTTGGTACTACTATACTTTCATACATTCCCTTCTTTACCTCCATAGATAATGTTTTTTTGTCTCAACATATACCTCAACGCACCATTCACCTTTTTTCCTTCATCAATTCTATGGTTAACCTCTTTCTTCTTCTTTCAACAAGCCAGCCGTATCCCACTGAAACAGGGTGGCCCAAAAAAGAAAAACAAAAGTTTCTCTTTTTAACCATAGTAATGCATACAGGAGAAGGAGTTACCAGCCCCTTGCTCCTGGGTGGTTAACCTCATCCTTCATATATCCATCCGCTGACACGTCAGCTCCTAGATATCTGAAAACATTCACCTCTTCCATACTCCTTCTCTCCAGTTTGATATCCAATTTTTCTTTAAATCATTTGATACCCTCATCACCTTATTCTTTTCTATGTTCACTTTCAACTTTCTACTTTTACACACTCCCAAACTCGTCCACTAACCTTTGCAATTTTTCTTTAGAATCTCCCATAAACACAGTATCATCAGCAAAAAGTAACTGTGTCAATTCCCATTTTAATGTTTAATGTTTATGTATGAGTAAAGGGTCTTGTCAAAATTGTTTCTTATAAATCATTGGTTAATTATTAATTTGTTATGTATAGGAAACATAAATTAGTTTCTTTTTTTTTGCATACATAGTGTATATTTTAGAAATCATGGCTAGATACAAAATAAAAATCGAACTTAATGAAATTTGAAATAATTTCTAGGTAGGACTCTTCCTGTGGCCACTCTATCAAAAATGGGGAGTGCTGGAGAAAATGAGCATCAGAGTTGGCAGAACAGCTGTTCACAATATGCAGTGTTCTTATTTATGTTAATTTATTGTCAACTAAAGTTTTCAATCTCTTGACAGACGCCTGAATGATCAAATTGAAAAATTTGCTAATGACATGAAAATCTATAAGTTTGAACACATAGATGCTGAGGAATCTAATGTTGTACCATTCTGTGGAGAGCTCTTCACAATATACAAGGTATGGATTCTCATAGTGTGTTTTAAATTTCATTTCTTTACTATTTTACAAGCTGTCACAAGTTCAAATAAAAATATAGTAGTAGTAGACTAATAGGTTGAGAAAACCTAGGGAATGAATGGATTTGACAGTTAAAGACAGAAGAAGGGAATTACTAGATGGGAAGTGGAGGTATTAGGAAGATGGTGGGAATATTTTGAGGAGCTGTTAAAGATTTAGGATAAAGAAAGGGAGCAGTGATTTCATGCAGTATCCAAGAGGTGTGACATCTTTTTAGGAGTGGAGAAGGAGCCAGTTGAGACAGTGGGAAGGTGAAATGAAGGCGTGATTAACACCCTTTGAGGGGCGACAGGCCCTCTCAGCAACTTTGTTCTCCAGGTCGGCCCCAAATTTCAAAAAAAAAAAAAAATTTATTTTTTCTTATGACAAAAAAAGAGTTTTTTTCTAAACATATAGGATAAACAAAAAAATTTACCATCAATACTTACGGAGATATGGAGGCTAAAGTTTTGCAGCAAATGAACCCCGTATGGCAACAGCGGCGACTGCCACCTCACCGAAACTTTGGTTTACCTTGTATTTGAAGTTTGTTGTTTTTTTTCACTATTTTATTCTTTCACATAACTTACTTGCTATGAGACCAAAGAAGTGCAATGTACATATTACTACTCGTATACAACACAATAACACACTAACATAATTATCAATATATGTTTTTCAAAACTTGTTTACCAAAACAACAATACAAAACCATTGTTTTTATTACTATTGTTCCTTAATATATCTCATACCAAAATACATTCATCTGAACATATTCCTATTCGTTCTGCAGCTTGGTGGAACTCTTTGAAACATGGTGTCATACACAATGGGGATTTATCTTTCTCCCTCATTCGATCTCTTTCAATCTGTCACTCTTTTTCTGTCTGTCTACTCTGTCCCTCACAGGTACACAACAATACAAGTATACATAGTAATAAATTACCTAACAACCCAAAAATCCAGACAAAGTGCTGTACTTCCGCTTGAAGATGTGAGTAAAAGTGATGACCATCTTTGGCTCTCTGGAGACAGAGAGCTAACGAATAGAACAGATAGACCAGGAGCTTGACAGACAGCAAATAGACAGACAAAATGTTAGTGTATACCAGCAGAAACAAAGGAGAGGGCGAGTTCATCTAATCGTTTACTTATCAGTTCCAACCCTCGTTTAAGCTCAGCAATAAAGTCATGTCTTCAATCATTTGGTAACTTCCCCATATCTTGACACTGTCCATGGGTGGATTTTTTTTTTTCTTGCTTCAAGGAAAAATATTATTACATCATCTTCTTCCTCTTCTTCCCACCTCGTCCTTCTTCCTCCTCTTCCTCCTCCTTCTCACTCTTCTGCCTATTTCCCCCTACGCTTCCCCTCCACCCTCCTCTTCCTCTTCCTCCTACTCGTTTTCCTCTTCCCTCTTCTTACTCCACCTCTACCTCTTCTTACTCCTGCCTCTTCCTCCTACCCTCCTCCTCTTGCTCCTCCTCCTCCTCTTAGCTCCTCCTCCTCCTCTTCCATTCTCCTCCTCCTCTTGCTCCTCTCCTCTACTCCTCTTCCTCCTCTTCCCCCTACCTTCCTCTTCCTCCTCTTCCCCTAATCTTCCTCCTACTATTCCTCTTTCCTCCTCTTCCTCTTCTTCCTCTTCCTCCTACCTTCCTCCTCCTCCTATTCCTCCTCCTCCTCTCTTCCTCTCCTCCTACTCTTTCCTCCTACTCTTCCTGCCCCCCTCCTCTTCTTCCTCTTCCTCTCCTTTTCCCCCCTAATCTTCCTCCAACATTTCTCTTCCTCTCCTCCTCCTCTTTTCCTCTTCCCTCCTACTCTTTCTTCCTCTTCCTCTTCTTACACCTCCTCTTCCTCTTTCTGTACTCCGCCTCCTTTGCACCTCCTCCTCCTCTGCTCCTCCTCCTCCTCTTGTCCTCCTCCTCTTCTTCACCTCCTCATCCTCCTTGCTCCTCCTCCCTCTTCTTCCTCTTCCTCCTCTTCCCCCTACTCTCCTCTTCCTCCTCTTCCCCCTAATCTTCCTCCTACTATTCACTTCCTCCTCCTCCTCCTCTTCTCTTCTTTTTCCTCTACCCCTACTCTTCCTCCTCCTCCTCTTCCCTCCCCTCCTCTTCTGCCTCTTCCTCCTACTCTTCCTCCTACTCTTTACCTCCCCTCCTCCTCTTCTTCCTCTTCCTCCTTTTCCCCCTAATCTTCCTCCTACTATTCCTCTTTCCTCCTCTTCTTCCTCTTCCCCCTACTCTTCCTCTTCCTCCTTCTCCTTCTCCTCCTCCTCCATATTTAAATTTACCAGAGTCGCAGCTGTCAAATGACATATTTGTCTCTTACTCACGCCCCCCCTCCCGCCTGTCCAAAACAATGGGTCAGATCTGGCTTCCCCTCCATTTCTATCTAATTATCTTTCTCCCCATTCTATATCTTTTAATCTGTCTCCTTTTTCTATCTGTCCAGTCTATCTTCAGTCTCACAGAAACACATAAATGCTAGTATACTAGATAAATTACCTTATAACCCAAAAATCCAGACAAAGTGCTGTACTCCCGCTTGAAAGAAGTGAGTAAAAGTGATGACGCAGTCTGTGGCACTCTGAACAGAAGAGCTAGACAATAGACAGATAGACAGGGAGCTTGACAACAGACAAATAGACAAAAATGTTAGTATACCGCAAAAACAAAGGAGATTGATGTTCCGATCTAATCTTTTGGTTCAGCTCACCCTCATTTCGCCTCATCAAACGTCAGCACTTATCAGATGTTATCTCCCTTATCTTTTACTGTCATGGGTGAACATGTTATTATTACATATTATTTACTATTACGTATTATTATTAGTATATTATGTATTAATTATTATTAATTATTATTGTTATTATTACATCTTCTTCTTCTTCTTCCTCCTCCTCTTCTTCCTCCTCCTCCTCTTCTCCCTCCCTCTCCTCTTCTTCCTCCTCTCCTCCTCCTCCTCCCCTCCTCTTCTTCCTCTCCTCCTCCTCTTCTTCCTCCTCCTCCCTCCTCCTCCTCTTCTCTTCCTCCATCCCTCCTCCTCCTCCTCCTCTTCCTCCTCCTCTTTCCTCCTCTCCTCCTTCCTCTTCCTCTCCTCTTCCTCCTCCCCCTCCTCTTCCTCTTTCCTCTCCGCTTCCACTCCTCTTCCTCCTCCTCTTCCCTCTTCCTCCTCCATTCTTGAACAAGTTTGAAGACTTGTAGTGTCATAATCACTATCGCTATCATCACCAATGCTCACAATCCTGAGTCTGGGATATGGAAAATAGGAGATTCCTCTTGATTATGGTACAACTGAACGTGAAACAAGACGGCCCAGCAACCAGAGGGTGGAAGCTGTGGGTGTTGGGTTTTCCTCACTATTAACCATATTAGTTCCTTAAAAGTTTTTTTTTCAGTCAAACCTCACCAAACTTTAAACTCATCTTCACTGCCACTTCCGATCTGTATAGAACTGTCACTGGGGGAACAAAAATGTCCCAATTCCGGCCGGGAGTGAGGAACTTCTGTTACGCCTGCATGGTGGACATTGATGTACTATGATGCATTCCCACAATGCACCACCTGGGTCCCCCCAGATTTTTTTCCTACTGCGCAAACCCACCACACAGACCCATTCTCTCACATCTAGGCCTATCAGCCTTTTCCTGCGAGATTTGACAGTTCTAGAATTTATGCGTACTAGTACGTCAAAAACCCCTACGCGTAAGACGTACTAGTACGGCGGAAACCCTCAAAGGGTTAAAGCAATTGGAATTGAGGGGATCAAAAGAAAAAAATGTTCACAATAGGTGGGGGACATAATTTTGAAGAGGCTGGTACTTTTTTACAAAAGAAAAGGTACCTAGGAATTGATAGAGAGCATGCATAATTCCTTTGTGTAAAGGAAAGGGGGACAAAGGAATAAAAATTATAGGTAATAATCCTGTATACTAGTATACAGTATATGAGTAATACTAGTAAAGTTAATGGTAGAGTTATTATTGAAAGAATTAAGGGTACAATGGAGAGCAGGATTGCAGATAAACAAGGAGGCTTTAGGAAGGGTAGGGGATGTATTGACCAAGTGTTTACATTGAAGCATGTAAGAGAACAATATCTAACCCTTTCAGGGTTTTCAACGTCCTAGTATGGCTTATGCACCAGGGTTATTGACGTACTAGTACGCCTAAATTCTAGCGCCTTCAAATCTTAGTGAGAGAAAGCTGATAGGCCTACATATGAAAGAATGGGTCTATGTGGTCAGTGTGAGCAGTATAAAAAAATCCTGCAGCACACAATGCGTAATGAGAAAAAAAAAAACTTTGAACTCGTGTTTTTGGATTAAAAGCTCTGGTTTGGGCCTGTGGTTAACTCGCTCTCCGCTTCACACGGTGAAGGGCCTGGGTTCGATTCCAGCCGAGTAGAAACATTGGACGTGTTTCTTTCCCACCTGTTTGTCTATGTTTTACCCATCAGTAAAATGGGTAACTTGGGTGTTAGTCGACTGGTTGGTCGCATCCTGGGACACAGAGACCTAAGGAGGCCTGGTCACAGACCGGGCCCCGCGGGGGCGTTTGACCCCCCGGAACTCTTCGCCAGGTAAACTCCAGGTAAACAGCGACTTTTGCACTGTGTTTTCCGTAGGGTATTTATAGTTGTATTCTAGATATACTTGTCTATTTTAAAGAAATTGAAACATATTCCAAAATAGCGATGATTTTGACTGGTTATCACATGAAAATATCCTTGAAAATGAGCTCAGAGTACAGAAATGTTCGTTTTGAAACAAGATCAAAGTATACAATCAATGCCAAGCGTCCAATACACATCAGCTGGTGAGTCAAATTTTTTCAACAAAGTTGCGACTGATATACTTCCACCAATTCTACCTAATGCATAATCTGCATAACAGTAATCTTCTATTTTTTGTAAAAATAACAATTCAAAGTGGAAAGCAAAAGAAATATATGAGGGGCCTG